TGGTGAATACATCCATTTATCAACGGATATTTGAAAGTATGTAAATAAGATAAAATTCGTCATTACAGTTAAGACTGATCGCCTATATTTACTGATCGATGTTCTTTGAAGATTATACCGATAAGTCGTTCTACACTATGCGGTAGTTAGGTTGGAAATCATGTCTAAGGTTATAAAAGGCTTAAGGACGTTGGTAGCGTATTTGAGAAGAAAGGAGGATGTTCAGTTTGAAATTAAAATGTTTCCTAACCAACGAACCTTGCTGTAATATACTAAGTGACATATAAATCCGATCACCCAGTTTAAATGGTTTTATTTTAATAAAATTTTGTATAAGTACTTAATGAAGCATAATAAGTAAATGATAAAAATTTCAAAATGATTACACTGCTTTAAAGCCCTTTGACCTTTAATAATGTGTGGATGCACCCTGATGTGCTACGCATTCTCCAACGCGCCTAGGCATGCTTCTGATCAGGTGATCAATGTCCTCCTGTGGTATCTCATTCCAGGCAACCACCAACTCCTCTCGAAGAGCTTCTAGAGTTTGAGGAGGACGTTGCAAATTGAGCAATCTCCTACCCATCATATCCCACACGTGCTCAATTGGGGATAAGTCGGGAGATCTTGGTGGCCATGGTAACAATGTGACATCATTATGTTGGAAGAAGTCTATTGTGACTCTTGCAACATGTGGTCGGGCATTATGTTGTTGGAAAGTTGGATCTGCCAGGGTGTCAAGATAGGATAAAAGATGGGGTTCTAGAACTTCGTGGATATAACGCTGCGCGTTCATGTTACCTCTGATGAAGATTAAAGGTGACCTGGAACCATAAGCTATAGCACCCCAAACCATAACTCCAACAGTGTGATGAACATGTCTTTCAACAAAAAACTGTGGATTCCTCCTTTTACCACGTCGCCTTCTAACCCTGGCACGACCATCGTGCATGCCTAAACAAAATCGAGACTCGTCACTAAAGACAATACTGTTCCATTCCTGATCCCAGAGTGACCGTTGTCTGCACCACTCAAGGCGATTACGTCGGTGTTCTCGAGTTAAAGGGAGGACCCAGTGTGGCCGGTATGAAAACAAGCCAAAACTTCTCATTCGTCGGTAAACACTTCGCATGCCAATAGGTCTTCCGTGTTCTGCAAACCATTCATTTGCAATGGACCTGGTAGTGGAGAAACGGCCCCTTAAGGCCAATAATCTTAGGCGGCGATCTTCATGGTCTGTTGTTCTACGGCGGCGTCCAGTGCCCCTTGCTCTTTGCGTACGGCCTTCTCGAAGCCATGCCTGACAACACCTAACCACAGTGTCTACACTTCTTTGCACTCTAACTGCAATTGCCCGAAAAGAAAGTCGAGCTTCCCGAAGTCCCACTATACGGCCCCTATCAAACTCACTAAGTTGACGAAATCGTACAAGTCTCCGTACTCTAGGCATCGTAACCGATCGTAAAGGATGTCAAGAACCAAAATCCGCCAACGTTGATTCTTTACTGCGGCTGAAATATTCATTTTTAGAGCGTTAGTGAATTAAAAAAAAGCAGTATAAAAACCGGAATGTCCAACTGATAAGGCTGAAAATTTTTTCACTTGTTATTTACAGTAAGATAAATACATTCACCAACTTTTATTAAAATAAAACCATTTAAACTGGGTGTTCCGATTTATATGTCACTTAGTATATATTAAATATACCTATAGCTTATTGCCTTTTTCACGAGTATTCATTACTATAGAATAACCGGTGATTATCTAGTAGTACATCTTGGAAACAAAGTGAAACAAGCTGGATACTAAATTCGTATCACCACAATTTTCTCTAGTCACCAGACTAATGAAACCTAGTACGTAAACTTGAGATATTCATAACCAAAGCTTCGTACAAATATTTGTTCCTTCACATGTATCTCCTTTAGGCTGTCTTGCAAATATTTATACGGCAGTGCATAAAAATTACCCAAACATAAACAGTAATCAGATTCATTGCCAAATGCCAATGTCAATGGCGTTAAATTAAAATTCAATACACAATTTTTAATGGTCTGTAGCTTTTGGAATAATTGCATTTTTACGTATTACATATACGGCTATCGTTACGCTTTATGCAGAAAGTTGAGCTTCTAATAGCTACTATATGTCAAATAGGATGATTGGAGAATATGGAAATTATCATGCTAAATGTTAGAACCTTATTTGAAAAACAGTGAAGAAACTTTCCAAAACATAACTTACTAATATTTTAGGAAATCTGATCGGATTACACATGGGCGCCCATATAGCAAAATTCAAGGGGAACATCAACAAAATTCATATTTAGCAAGAAGCCTGTCTTTGGGATGGGAGGAGGTGGTTGCCTGCGATTGAAAATTAAATTAACCTCAATTTTTACCTGACTGCCTCAAAAGCAGGATTATGTTTTTCACAGCAGAGTATGTGAGCAACAATTCTATACGCCGGCTGCCCAAACGGCTTAACGGATTGGATTGGATGTATTTTCTATCGATATGTTGCTATAAAGTCCGATAAGACATATCGTGTGCATTATACTACCATCAAATATATACACAATTTTTCAGGATAACATTGCAACGAGTAAAAATTGCTATTGTAGCCAGTGTTGTGTACCGCTTCAATTGCAAGTCATCTGCTTTAATACAAAGAAATACATTCCACTTTTACTTTTGGTTGTTACCTAGTACTGAGTTATTGTTCTCACGATGTCGATGCATCGTCATTTAATGCTTCATCTATGACATTTCTGTAATTCATAATTATTATTGCGTAGCAAATAGCTTCAATCTAAAATATCACGTTTACTTTCTAACAGTAATGATATAAGGCATTTAATATGTTCACCAACTGCTCAGATGTGCAATAAGATATCGTTATGTTAAATGAGAGTATGCAGAAATTATCAGCGTAATGATGCAGGTCTGATGTTTGAAACAGAAACAGATTCTCCATGTGTTGATATATGTTTACTTCAAGCATATATATGAGAAAACCCACTGCACATAGTAGATAGATAGATAGATATATAGATAGATAACGACATGCAGTTTTCACTAGTTTGTATGATTTTTCATGCACAATATTGAAAAATAATAATACCATTGCATTTGAGGTCCCTCCTTTTTAAAACAATCGACTTACGAAAAAATTATGTCAACAAAAAAGGTTCTAAACTAATATTTCCAAAAAAACGGCATTTCTGGCTTTAAAATCAGAGTATCATCCCCTAGCGGGCATTCTAGGAAGCTGAAAACAATTCTAATTTATCCTGGTCATTCCCATTATAATTTTTGAGACATATAAAATATCAATACCTGACTCGTAAAGTCGTTAGATTTTTTTCAAACTGTAGACACTCCTTTTTTGCAATCTCATCTCCAAAGCCCAATAGGTCCCTACAACGTTCGAGTAACTCACCATTTAGAGTCTTGGAGTCCCTTACTATAGGGCGCTTAAAATTGGCTAATTGGTAAACGTGGATGAAATCTTCATCTTTATATAATAGTAGAAGGATTTGATATGACAATATCTACATCCAACAGACAAAGTGGATAAATCGTTGCAAAAAATACTGATTTGATAATTTTGCAACTGGGCTTGAGTTGCACGATTAGAGAAAAGTGATAAAAGCTGGACATGTTCCCCCTGGTTTCGTTGGGTGATCATTATCTGATATTACATTTGTAACGCCCTCATATAACTGGAACTCGGATTACCAGCGTGACGCCCTCGTATATCGACTAGAAGATTCAACAGGTGCCCAGCGACGTCGACGCTTAGGCAACCAATTATGAGATTAATCTACTGCCATCTAGACCACTTCCATGAAAGTTCGCGACTCTGCCTGGAAGACGCTCGAGTATCTCCCGACTCGTCGATACGGGAATAAATATAGGCAGACATGGTGAAAAGAGGACAGCCCACGAACAGCGATCGATGAATCATAAGCTATAGTCCAGTCAACTTAAAGTTTTATTGAGTAAACAAACTTCTGTTTTCCGTCGCGCAAACTGAATCACTATTCTTTTGAAATCCTATTTCAACTTCTAAAAGGATAATGAGGAAAAACTAACAACTAACGTTCTAGAGTGGCTGCTTTTCAGAATAAGAAGATTGGATAGAAGAAGTCAGGGACCAGGAAAAGAAGTGTACGACTCCGACTTTTGTCTCTAACGAATCTATGTATCTGTTTGAAATATGTATATTGTTTATCATTACTTAATGTAGCATGTCCCATTTTTCCAACTGCCTGCTTGGAGCAGTATTTTCATCTGATTATTTCACTGTATCTATAGAAAGGAATCAAAAGCAATGTTCTCAACTTTTTGGTCAGAGAATGCATTTTATTGTGCATTTTTTCTTCAGTCGTGACTCGTTAACAAATATTAGAACAGCTGTGAAATTCTAAGTGAAAATTCCATTTTTATAGTAGAATTGAGAGGGTGATTACTTTTATTCTTATCGCTTTTTCTTTTATTATTTTACAGCAAATTGGGTTTTTAAGAAAAGCAAAGATTTTTTGAAGAAAGTAATCATCCGCTCAACTCTTCCATAAAAGTGGAATGTGCACTTACAATTTTAGAGCTGCACCATTATTATTTGTTAACAAGTTACGGTTGAAGGAAAAAATGCATGAGAGATGAACAAATACATGCATTTTACCGAAAAAGAAACTGATAACATTGTTTTTCGGTCATATCTATACACACCATAAAACAATCAGACGAAAAGTATTAAGAATACTCTTCCAGACAGGCTGTTGGAGAAAGACGGACATGGGACGTTAACAATAGAATCCTAATTGATGATTAGCAATGCCTACTAGGGGTTTTGTTTTTGCTGTTGTACTTGTAAGGTTTTTGGAAATTACTTTTTTTTCAACGACAATTGTTGAAGTGTAAAGTAAAGCTCCTTAACATTACAAAGTAAACGTTGTATGCTTAATATAGAATTCTCAAACACTGGATTCATTCCAGGTCCATGCGCGAGGACTGAAGTTCGGTATATACGAGGATTATGGAAACTACACGTGTGCCGGTTATCCAGGAGTTTTGGGTTATCTACAAAGAGACGCTGAAACATTTGCATCGTGGGATGTAGATTATGTCAAACTCGATGGGTGCTACGCACATCCTTCAGAAATGGATAGGGGTTATCCAGAGTTTGGATTCCATCTCAACAGGTAGGTGAAAGTGGTTTATCGATGTTTGAAAAAGCTGTATGAATTTCAAATTCAAATTTAAAAAGTATCTCCATGGTAAACTGCGTACGAGTGATGATTCTGACATTCAGTCAAAAACTGGTCTGTCCACCGAGCCCTTCAATATACCGGGCGACCCATTAATGTGGGAACGAAGTATTGCTTCTTAACAAAAACATTTCACCCATTTATCAAACATGATTTTTTTAAGCGGATTGCTCATTTTTTTTTTAAATATATTCAGAAACATCCCCATTGCTTTGATAGATTTTGGCCTTCCAAAAAGTAGATCTTATTTATTACATTGTCATATAATCATGTATCATAATAAGCCATCACAAAAAAACTTACCAACATCAGCAGAAGAATGGGACAAATTTGATCTTAGTACGTATAATCTAAAAAAACTCTATTTCGACTGAACTATAATGATTTAAAGCGTTAACTGATCTACCCACATTTCTATCAGAGACACATAATTACTAGCAACCTGTTGAACTTTTACATTTGACGTTATTACCTGCACTGCAACTGCGAAGGAACCATAAGTCTCATTCAATCTATTCGAACATTAGTCGAAAGCCGAGACTATATTTAATAATTACGTATCCATCAGTAACCTTTAGCGGGTAAATGAACTTTATAAAAAATCTCTTATTATACCTGTTTGAGTAGAACTCGTTGCTCGTGCTGAATTTGGAATTAAGGTTGAAGTGAAATATCATATATTACCATTTTAATATCTCTTAAAAATTTTGCTATAAATGATCTGCAGGTGCAGGTTGAGCAAAACTGGTTCTCCGTTTTAAAAACTGTTTCAATTAGTTCATGAATTTTAGGTTGAAAATGTCCATTAGATAGTCACATATAATAGCGTTAGCTTAGCAAAATTAATATGGAAATATAATGACAGAGGTAATTTACAAGGTAATTATGACGAGTATTGACGAGATCTCACTGGGATAATGACCGTCAGAATCCGATTTTTGTTCACAATGGCCCTATATTTCTAAAACTAAAACAAAAATTTAGCTTGTGAACGATTGAATCACTACGAGACTGAAATATTTTTGGTAGAAATCCACTTTAATTCATGGCTGCTTTGTCTGTGAATTTTCAAAGTAGGGTTATCATGTTCCGTAACTATACACGGGAGCTCCTGAAGATATTGGTATTGAACCAAATAAGTTTATATCTCGGAAACATTACTTCTCTGTAGCTCAATCTGTTTTTCTGGAATTAAATTGGAAATTGAATCACTGTAAAAATACGGAATACGACTATATTCTATTTTTTGAGAATTTGGAATGCAATCTGGGCTCTCTTCTACTGCTGTATCACCGGTTTCTGCTCCGCAAAGCTCGCCTCTATGATGCCGCCACGCGTTGAACCTGCTAGACGGACCAGACAGGCTTCTACCTTCCGTCTTGACTCTGCCAAACATCGTACTTCCATAACTGGCCGGTGCGACCGCTCCATTGTTTCTAGGGTGTCGAAACTGTACAAAAATCAGCCTGCGCGCGCTTTTTCCGGTCAAGCTAGCCGAATTAACACTGCATCTTTAAGCTTCTTGTAGCAGTTCCGGTGATTAGCTTTCTGACTACGCGCCAGCAGTAGTAAAAATAAATATCTCAAAAAGGGTTTGCTGACTTAAAAACCATCACTCTGTCATACGTTCCAATAAAAAACAATGGATCACGGAACGGTAGAAGATACGATGTCAGTTAAATGGGGAATAATTTGCTAATTTAGGTAACTAAGAAAATGACACGTAAAAAGTTTTACAATTCCGATTATTTCCGAAGATAGACAAAGCAACCGAATTGTCCACTGAAGCTTTGGGAATTGGGAATAACATGTGATTAACTCTCATTTATATTGTTTTTTTTAAAATAACTTATGTTTGACTAAGTCAATATATGACATAGTATATCTTTTTAAATGAGAATTTAAAACTCATTTTACCTACGCATAAATCGTATATGGCCCATTTAAGAAAAAATAAAGTTGATGATTGAGGACAGGAGACGAAACATCATAATGAAATTCTAATTATGCCATCATGTAGAGGACAAAAAATGCTAATGGTTATGTAGTTTTATTTTGAAATCCCGTTTCAAATGAAGTCAGGTTAAAATAAAAACGATTTTAGGAAAATCCGGAAATACTGGAGATTTTGGAACTTTCTAAGTTAAATTTTCTTAGTTACCTCAATGCGTAACTCCGCCCCCGTTCAATCGACTTATCTTTTACCGTTTCCAAAATTTCAATGGTAGTCGAATTTGAAACAGTCCGTATATAACTTTAACTAGCACCCCCTACAAACTATGTTGAAAAATATAATATAATCCTATTGCTCATCTTCAGATACTCCTAATTCCCACTTTTCATGCAAACACCGCAAAAAGAATTTTGACCTATAAAGAAATAAAGATTTCGATAATTAAACTTCGACATCCTGTATCTCATTAACGAGCGAGATATTACTAAGGCATTTGGATCTATGTAGTTGTTTTTACGAGCTCAAGATATGAACGCTTTATGGAGCATGTATTACGGACCACTACGAATTGAAATTTTGATTTATTCGATTTTACTTCAGAACCGGCAGACCAATGATCTACTCCTGCAGTTGGCCAGTATACCAGATCTACGCCGGGATGCAGCCGAATTTCTCCCTCATCACATCTCACTGCAACATGTGGAGGAACTTCGACGACATCCAGGATTCGTGGGCGAGCGTTGAAAGTATAATCGATTATTATGGGAACAACCAGGACCTCATCGTGCCTAATGCCGGTCCTGGACATTGGAACGATCCCGATATGGTGAGTGATGTATAAAATATTTTTAAAGGTGAATTTGAATCATAAAGTTCAAAATATAGAAACTAATATGAAGGTTATCTGCAGCAGCTGATCTTGCATGGATTCACTTCTTGATTTGACTTGCAATCGAGTCAAGCTCAAGTCAAATAGTTTTTACGTCTTTCTGTCAAGTACTTGTACTACTACTACGAGTAGATTATTAATAACAATTGAAATACTTTATTTGTCTCAAGTTTCAGAGAAAACAATACATATTGAACAAAATAATTTGTTATTCATATAAAAAATAATTTAATGATGAAACCGTGAACTCAAGTAGAAAAAAAACGTTTCTTCATCAGCTGATACAAAAAAATGAAGAATTCTAAATTAGCTTTTCATTCGCTAACCAGGTGTTCACGCACATGAGGGTCCCAACGAATTTATAATGGTGGTAACATTAAAAATAATGGAAGCGACAATTGACCAATTTTGAACTATATACTGTATAATAATTATGTGTAAGTTGTGCCAGTGAGACAGTTCAGATTTCAAATTTGAATTACGCGGCAATCGTATACGCGAGGAAGTGGGCAGAGGTCTTGATCGTCACGTTCGGCGTGCGGGTTAAATAGTCACAATGGAACGTTGGACCGGAGCGCAACAAGCTTTTGCTAAGGATTACTTTAAGAGAGGTGATTTATATGCAGCCCTTCGGAAACTTTGTACACGATACAACATTCGCCGACCAAGAGGTGCCCCAAGTAAGAACCTATTGAAAAAGTGGTTTAAGAGGTTCCGTCAGACAGGCTCTACTCTTAGTCAACCCATTCCTGTTCCCACACCTACTATTTCAATCAAAGAAAGTGCGCGTCGAGTAAGTGATTCGGTCATTGCGAACCCTCGGCGTTCTGTACGAAAGAATTTCGCTGCCCTGGGAATTCCTAGGTCAACACTGCATGGTATAATGAAGAAAAAAATGGATTTTCACCCTTATAAAATCCAATCAGTCCATACTTTAAAGGCAAGTGATTACGTATTGCTGAAATCTCATGCTGAACGGGTGTTGAATCTTTTTCCTACGCAGCGCAGAGTCGAGAACGTCATTTTCAGTAACGAGACCCATTTTTATTTAGACAGTTATGTCAACAAACAAAATTTCTGATACTGGTCACCAACGAACCCAAGAGAACAACAGCTATATAGTCCAAAGGTGACTGCTTGGTACGCCATACCCTCTACCGGTATTTTTGGGCCATATTTCTTTGAAAAAGTAAACGATCATGCATTGAAAGTCAATTCCGAGCGATGCAAGGGCATGATTGACACTGTTTTGGTCCTATTGTAAGAACATAACGTCGATTTAACAGAAACACGTGGTTTCAACAGGATGGGGTAACTGCCCATACTTGCAGACAGTCGATGGACACGGTGAAAGCACTTTTTCCTCAAAAAGTTATGTGTAACTTTGGAGACATTCACTGGCCTCCTAGGTCACCCGACCTCACGCCATGCGACTATTTTTTGTGGGGTTATCTAAAGTCAAAAAGTGTATTCAAATAATCCACGAAGGGATGGCAAACATTTATAATAAATAATAAATAAATAAATAATAAATATTTTCTTTTCATTAAGTTTGTATTTTTTTTTCTTAAATCAAAAAGTGAACTTTCCCATTGGACACCGTATATAATAGCTAAATAAAAAACATGGAAATCTTGATGTTGAGCTTTTTTTGAAAAAGTTTAATTCTAACTGGTTTTTGTGTTTATAGAATCAGTGTATCTGTGCCCACGCTATACGAAAATATACTTTTTATAGATGGCGATGCAGGGTCCAAAAGACCTTGGTCCGCCGCTGGTCTTAAGCCGGTCCTGATTTTTCCATTCTGAAGATTTTGTCCTTGAATCTACCGAATTGCAACAACACTATCTACCGATTTCGTGTTTTTTGGTTTGGAATCACTGATTGCATGAATCATGAGAGAGGGTACACTTCGTCACGTGGCCATCTTCGATTTCTACGTGATTCTTTGCATTAAAATACAAAATACGGCTCATCGGTTTTACAAATAAATATCACAGAAGGTCTTTAGTAGAACAAAAACGCAAGCTTTAACATATCAAGTCATTTTATGTTTGAGTCAAATTTATGAAAATAACAAGCCACTTGAATTGACGAATCTCTTGTTCTTACAGCATTTTTGTTCATACAGAAGTAGAGCTCATTCTATTGGACACAAATGCCGCGACTTTCCTGCATTCAAAAAGAAATTAATGTCTAGCTGAAAAGGGCTTTTTTATGAAATCGTTCTGCATTCTTGGTAGCTTAAGAACAAATGAACGAATGTACGGGTCAACTTCCGATTTGTCCGTCTAGCAAGCTTAGGATTCAACGATAAGTTGAAAAGCTCAAACAAATATTCTGCTGAGATATCAGTAGAAAAAGGATCGTATACCCAACCGTGCCTCGATGTGAACGAAGCATGAGGCTGCTTGTGGAAGAAGAGGCACCGATTACAACTGCTTCCTCTGAACTGAAAGAACTTAACATAGGGGTAGTACCCCAGACATGTAAGCAGTACTGCAGACAAGCTCACATCTCCGCAAAAAGTGAAAATATTAGACGGCTTACAAGACTTTCTACTTCCAAATAGTTGAACCAGCTCATATGACTGTCTCTTGTTATATGAGGTAGAGTACTGAGTCTTAAAAGCTTGTCGTCTCACATGCTTGCATCCCCAGGTAGTGTCCAACAAATCCAAAATAGGTCGCCCTAGCACTAAATGATCTATGCGAAAAGCTGTGCGAAACTGCGGGTTGGATGAATCTTGTTGAAAATGAGGTCATTGAATATATGGCAGCAAGAGCGTTGGACCTAATATCAATATAAAAACACACCATTTACGATGAATTACAACCCGCATGGGTATCATGTAAAAAAGTATAAAACATCAAAAAAAACCTATAAGATGTCATCTTGCAAACTAGGTAGTTTTTAGGGCGCAAACAGTCATTCCACGTTTGCTCACTAGGATCGTTGTGAACGTCCATCTAAGAAAGAATCACTCAGCTAAACTACACGCATTATTGGTTGCATATATTTTGTGAGACTAAATGGTCCTTGTCTGTAGTTTTTATCTCTGAGAAGAAAGTTGGTTGAATAGCAAGATCGCATCTGGATGATAATGTATTGGTCTGCATGTGTATAAAATCAGTGATATTTGCTGTGTGAGAAAATCATTACTGAATATGCTGCCAATGAAGTATATCTATTGGCTGTGCCCGACGGGTTATTTTTATGTTGTGCTTTCTGAAGACGGGTTATGTTGAAAGTTATAAATTACGAAAAACTTAGGGGAAATCATCACCGCGCCCGCGTTGTGTGTAAATACTGTTAGCATGTATATGACTTGTAATTCGACAGTGTACAGTGAATATAATTATTTATCTCTCTCATTTTTGAATTTCAGCAAATTAGATTATGTAATCTCCAGAATGGATAAGAAAAAGTGGATGAGCAACTAACTTATAACTTTGAATCTCAATTAAGTGTATTTGAGACAAGAACGCAATGCGATTATCATCAACACATACAACTTACAGCTTAGACCGCCAGTAATGCCATCTCAGAAGCAGATCACATCAGAGCTAAAGATTGGTAACAAGCCTCATTACGTTTAGGCAACACATACAACTAAGTGCTAAGTTAACATCTTGTAGACAAACCTACATAATGTAAAAAAAAACAGCATAATGTCAAAAAAAACCGTCATAATGTCACTTTTCAAGATACCTGATACCCGTGCCGATAGAACATCTACCATCAGTATGCAAAAATAGATGACGTTAGGTGTGATGTCCCCAAATGATGTTTTTGAAAAGTTTGACACCACAAGGGGCAACAATTTTACATCACATCAGAGCTTATGATTGATAACAAGCCTCATGACGTTTAGACAACACGTACAACCCGTGCCGATAGAAAATCTAGCATCAGTATGCGTAAATAGATGACGTTAGGTGGGATGTCCCAAATTATGTTTTTGTAAAATTTTTTAAGCTAGCACCAATAGGTCATCGGAGCAGTACAGCACTAGTATGGCAACTGTACAAAGTACAGACTAGTACAGGCATCACAAATACTTGAATAGGCATTTTAAACTAATGAAGTGAATAAGACTGATTGCTACAGAACGAATGAGGCCATGATCGAATGCCACCTAGGAAAAAATCACCGCCTTGGAATATATAGGATGTGCAATAGTAAATATTCAATATCAAGGCTTGCAAATATGTTGCGCTTATTATACGCAAATTACATCCCCATCTCTTTATACGCACTGTTACCTAAATTATATAAAAATATTTCCATAGGAAGGAAGACAAAATCCATAACGACATGAGGAAAGCATAAATACGTAACCAGATGCCATCAATGTGCTAACTGTAATACCTACTTAAAACACCTTTTAATTACGTATCCCAGTTTCATAACATAGAATCTGCATTTTATGAGCCACGCATATGGTTAGTATGCCACCTTGTACACATATTAATATTAATTCGAATGACCGTCTCCTTTGCACATTTCTAAATCGGATTAAGTGATATACAAAAGAACTAGATTGAGTCCGGTGTTTGATCAACTTGACCTTAGACGAACAGCGCAACCATCTATTTAATACGACTATGAATGTGGAAACATTGCAGGTCTTTTATACCGGGGAAAATCCTTGAATTCTATTGACCAGGAGCGTAGCAATCCCTATGTCAGCCGTGTCAATGGTACAGGGCTCCCAGCATCAACGTAACCGATAAAAAATGCGAAGTGTTGTCCACAATCTCACAAAAGTTTTCTGGACGTAGGACAAACTATAAATTATCAACCATTGAATCCTTAGGCGAATGTTATACGGTATATACTGTAGTCAGTACCAGGCTACATGATCAATAAACATCACATTCCGTGTTGGAATACTGACGGATCACAGTAAATACTGATCGTGTGACATTCGCTTT